GGTCTCCTGGTGTTCTGCAAATCAGCGTCGGTGGCTGTTCATCTCCTGGCTGACTGACCAATTCGATGGGTGGCCGTATTCTATCAGAACTCGGACATATGCCTTGAGCAAAGCTGGACTCGGTCTGCAAGCAGTTCTATTGAGGGTTGTGGGCCGGCTGTGGTCCTTGGACTTTGCTGGCCAGATGGAATTGATCTTGGAGGAACCGATAGATTCGGGCTCGGCGGAATTTGTCCACACCATTTTCAACCTTGAGAGTACCAACAGAAACTTTAAACCAGATGGAAAATTGTTGTCGTCTGATTGTCTCTTTTGTTCCCAAAACAACTGATTACAGAATCTGGATCTCCCCGACAACGACCTTGGATCTGTTGACTAAATTCTTCCTGGCTGGATGTGTCGACAAAGGCTCTGCCCCCCACCTTCCTCCTCCTCTCGCCCGTCTAATCTGCTGGCTGAAAGCTGCACAGAAATGAACAGTTTCCATCAATATTTCTGAACTATAGCTGTGCTAGTTTTGGGTGACTGGATTCTTTGGGCCCCCTTAAACTCACTTACTCATCTGGCTAATAAAATTGCTCTATGCAGAGGTTTTTTTCATAAACACCATAGTGTGTCACAGTGTTGATTTAATATGATGTTTTTGCTTTTTTCCTCATCTTCCCTTCCCTTGTGTGATTTTTCAGTTTTTCTTTGTTTTTAAGTTGGCGCCACGGCAGGCAGCCTGTCACTGCAACTCCACTGTTTTGAGCTGCTGTACTGTTCAAACTGCCCCACTGTGGGATCAATAAAGTTCTATCTCATCTCATCTCATCTCATCTCATCTCATCTCATCTCATCTCATCTCATCTCATCTCATCTCATCTCATCTCATCTCATCTCATCTCATCTTATAGCAGCAGAACTAAGGAATAACTCAGGAAACCCAAGTCTAGGATTTATCAAAAGGAAAGTCTCCAGTAAACTACACATGAAGCATAGCCTTAAAAGTAGAAAGTAAACGACACATGAACCATAGTCTTAAATTACAGTGTCAACCTCTCAGAAAGAAACTGGAAGTTGGTTCCACAAGAGAGGAGCTTGATAACTGAAAGCTCTGCCTCCCATTCTACTATTATAAACTCGAGGAACCACAAGTAAAACTGCAGTCTGAGGGCGAAGTGCTCTGTTAGGAAAATATGGAAGAAAAAGATCTTTGATATAGGATGGAGCTTTGTTGTTGGGAGCTTTGTATGTTAGAAGTAGGAATTTGAATTTTATTCTGAATTTGACAGGGAGCCAGTGGAGATAAGCTAAAACTGGTGAAATATGATCTCTCCTTCCAACTCTCTTTAGAACTCTAGCAGCAGCATTTTGGATCAACCGAAAACTTCTTAAACCAGGTTTTTGGACCCAGATAATAAAGAATTACAGTAGTCCAGCCTATACGTGACAAATGCATGGATCAGTTTTGATGTTTCTAATTTTAGTGATATTATGCAGAAAGAAGGCGGTGCTGGTAACATTTTTAATGTGGGGGTTAAAAAACTGATCAAAAACAACACCAAGGTTTCCTGTGTAAGTGCTGGAGACTAAGTTAATGCCACATTTGCTCACATCTCATGGGAACTTTGGCCCACTTCTCTTTGCAGAAACTTTAAATCTTGTAGGTTTCTTGGCTGCAGTGTGTAAACTCAAAACTTCAGCTCTCTACAGATTTTTCTGTATTACTGAGGATGGAGACCAGCTTGGTTTCCATGGTCTCAGTGCGATTCCCATTTAGCTCTTATTTGTTTTCCATGTGACAGTAGCTAGGTTTAGGGCTGCCACGATTAATCGATTAATCGACGACTAATCCATTATTAAAATAATTGATGACTAATTTAATAATCGATTAATCGTTTTCTTCTTTTTTTTTGTTCTTTACTTTGTTTTTCTCTCCAAACTGCTTTGACACCTTCCACTGCCACATCTGCCTTTCTGTCCTTGACACACATGCACAGCAGTGGTAACTGGGGTAGGCCGTGGACGTCACAAGACATTATACAGACAGGCTCTGGTATCATGGCTACCCAGCAACAGAGCTGAAAAGTGTGGGATCATTTTAAGAAAATGAAAGAGAAACCTGTGTAATATCTGCAGAGCAGAACTTACCTTCCACAGCAWTTATTTTTAGTTAGCATATAGCTAAAATCTAACGATGGTTATACAATAGCAGCTGCATTCTGACGTGATAAGCTCTATATTTTATATTCAATTAACGTATGATCTGATTAGTCGACTAATCGAATAAATAATCGGTGATTAATCGATTATTAAAATAATCGTTTGTGGCAGCCCTAGCTAGGTTTACATGGACATTAGTAATTGGAATACACGTCTGTTCAAATTAAATATGTCATGTACAGGCCCAGTCTGAACATTCTGATAAGATTCAGCTCAATCTGAATGGCTGGGCTTGACTTTGGGGATGGTGTTCTGGTTGGTGGACGCCCTCTTCAGGAAGTACTTCCTGCACTGCTGGTCCCTGGGTATGAGTGATTGTAGGGGTGCACTGATAAATCAATCGGCCGATTGCCTTAATTTTGGGAGATCGGCGGTTGGCCAAATATTACACGAGAAGCCAATCTTATCTGCCTCAGCAAAGGTCTGAAAATCAGCCAATGTCCCATTTTGCTCTGCGTTGAGAGAGGACCGGTATACACTTAAAAGAGGTTTGTATTGTTTCAGGGGGATTGTTCAAGATGAGAAAATTGACGTTTTGACCTTATAACACCTGACAGAGCCAGTTAAACAAAAGACAAATCTGTATCAACCAAAATCAAAACAGGCAGTTCAGGCTTTTTAAAGACCAGTGATCAGCCAGAAAACTGGAGTCGGTGCAGTTATTTGTTTTGTGTGTCACTGTGATGGACTGAGACCTGTCCAGGTGTGTCCCTGTGATGGACTGAGACCTGTCCAGGTGTGTCCCTGTGATGGACTGAGACCTGTCCAGGTGTGTCCCTGTGATGGACTGACATCTGTCCAGGTGTGTCCCTGTGATGGACTGAGACCTGTCCAGGTGTGTCCCTGTGATGGACTGACATCTGTCCAGGTGTGTCCCTGTGATGGACT